TTATAAGATCTATTGTTTTGGGTATGGAACTATCAGGATTGGATATGTATATAATGAGATCATCTGCGTACAGTGAAACCTTTTGAGTCTTCCCACTCCTATTAATGCCTAGCAAGTCTGACTCTTTCCTTAAAGCTATAGCTAGTGGCTCTATTGCTATATTAAATAGGAGGGGAGAAAGGGGACAGCCCTGTCTGGTGCCTCTATATAAAGGAAAAAAGTTTGATATTACCTTGTTAGTTCTTATACAAGCAGTTGGATGCGAATTTAGTATACTAATCCAAGTGCAAAAACCAGGACCAAAGCCAAAATTTTTCAGAGCTGTGAATAGATATTCATACTCAATACGGTCAAAGGCTTTATGAGCATCTAATGACAATAGCACCTCTGGCAAATGTGAACTTTGTGAGTAAAGTATATTAAATAGTCTCCGTAAGTTGCTTGAAAGCTGCCGCCCTGCTATGAATCCTGTTTGATCTTGATGAATAAGTGTTTGTATGACTGGATTAAGCCTTGCTGCCAAAATCTTTGCTAATATCTTGTAATCATTCGAAAGTAAACTTATAGGTCGATATGAGTCACACTTCAAGGGATCCTTACCTTTTTTGTGTATAACAGTGATAATAGCTTGTGACATAGTTGGTGGTAAAGATTTCTGCTCAGTTATTTCTATAAACACCTTTTTGAATATTGGGGATAATTTGTGTGAAAATGTTTTATAAAATTCAATTATAAATCCATCAGGGCCAGGTGCCTTTCCGCTTTTTATTTGTTTGATAGCTTGTTCAATTTCTTTTATAGATATGGGTAGTTCAAGATTATCCTTGTCTTGATCACTGATATTGGGCATTTCTATTGTATCAAAAAAATGGGATATATTCGCTTTATTATTTGTCTCGGATGTATATAACTTTTCATAGAATTTTTTAAACTGCTTGTTAATGTCCAACTGATCTGTTATTGCCATATTTATAGCAGAAATAATTCTTATAATCCTTACCCTTATAATCTTAATTGAAATACAAAAATGCACTTCCTGTTTGTTTTTCTGTTAAATTGCCAGATTACGTATATCTTAGGAATTGGGCATGACTAACATATTTAACCACGCTGCTCCAACTGTCAGTTTTGACACTAAGCAGAAATGGTGAGCAGGAGGTGTCTGTTAGGTTTTAATAACTTTGCCCAAACACTTTTCCCAATCTTTCGGAATGAAATGCCTACTTTACTACATCCAATCAGCTCGCAGTACAAAAAACAAGCCACGCCCACCGTTGTGTCATTTAATATTCAGTTTCTCTAGGAACTGTGTCACAATATAAAAAAAAAAAGTCGCAACTTCCGGTTCATGCAGACTTTAAACATTTTGTTTACTGGAGGTGAAAAAAGTTCAAGATTTACATTTATTTGAAAACAGTAAAGACTCAGTTCTTGGTTATTGGGTATAAAATCAATTTTATTGTTAATTTTCTTTAAAAAAAAGGACAGAATATAAACAACCATTTTTCATTATGAAAAACATTTAGATTACTCTAGGCTTGTTTTACTAATTTATATTATATATTTTTTTCATTGCATAGTCTCATTTTAAAAACACTTTATACCAGTTTGCACTCCGAGCTGGTGTGTGTGCAGGTGTGCGTGTGTGTGTGTGTGTGTGTGTGTGTGTGTCTTCAGCTCGTACAGCTTCACACAGAGGCTCACAGATGCAGCAGAGGAAGCTCAGGATCAGGATCTGTTCTCCTCAGTTCCTCTGCCCCTCCTGCTCTCCTTCTACAAATCATTGACAGCGTTTATCTACACTGAACCTGACAATGCAACCCAAGCCATGACTGCTGGATTTAGATAAGTGTAATGTCACTGGCCACCTGTGCAGTGCAACCAGGGATGGCTCTCAATGTCATCTAAACTGGGCCGATCAGCCGGTGCTGCACTGAGACACCAGCGAATCAGCTGACGGCACTCTGTTACACACAACACCGTCTTCAGAAACACACAACAACACACTTCTGCTCGCTCGCCAGGCTATCTCTGAATGTGTCTGAATCTCTTACCTGTTGACAAGCTCCTAGGGAAGGTCAGTCTGCTTCTGGACGTGATCCTCTGTGCGCCTCTGAATGGGAAACGGTCACACAGGATGTTGTAGAGCGTCACTCCTACTGACCAGACTGTAGCTGGAGTCGCATGGTAGCGATGTCTACGAAACCACTCGGGAGGAGCGTATGCAGGAGTGCCTGAGAGACATAAGAAGACCACAAACATCTGCTCAACATGCTCCAGTACAGACAAATTCCCTTTAGTGGATCAGCAGAAGTTCACAAACATCAACAGAACGTTTCCTTCTGTAACTCAAACTCACCTGCAAAGTATTTGTAGGCCGATCGCTTCAGCAGATCTCCACAGCCGAAGTCCAGCAGCTTGATGTCCTGGGACTCTGTGGAGATCAGCAGGTTTTCTGGTTTGACGTCCCGGTGCAGGACGCCGCGGCTCTCGCAGTGTTTTAGGGCCGCGATCAGCTGCACCAGCACTTTCTTGGCCAGACGCTCATCCAGACAGCCGTTCTCCTCACAGAAGCTCTGGAGATCTTGGCAAGGATCCGGTCGCTCCAGGATCAGGATGTAGCGCCTGGGACGGTCAAACCAGTCCAGCAGCTGCAGGACACTGGGGCAGGCAGGAGCTGACGTGACACGGGTCATCAATGCCACCTCCAGCGGCAGCCGACCCTGACCATCCTGCAGGACAAACCCTCCATTATATCCAGAACTCAATCAAACACAGCAAACACAACAGATTCACATCAAAACATACAACTTTCAGTCGCTCGGGGGTCCGGTCCTTCGACACGTACTTGATGGCCACCTGCAGACAGAAAAAGCAGAGTAAATCACACCTGCCTGATTGTGACACATGACATTTACTGACAGCAACATTTCTAAAGCATGTCTGAACAAAGGAGGGAAGAAAATCTCTTACTGGTAGTCCATCAGACCTGCGCATCCCAGCAAACACAGAGCCGAATCCACCTCGTCCCAGCAACGGGCCCTTCTGGTACAAGTCTGCAACACAGAAAAGCACAAGAAATGAAGAAAAGAGAGAAAGAGAAAACATGCTGCGGTCTCATCAATGACAAATCATTTCCAAACTGAGCCATAAGATCTAGAAGATGAGCTGTGCTGACCTCTGCGAGAGCGTTTGGCTGGTCTGCTGGACGAGGTGGACAGTGTTTGCTGGCTGCTGCTCTGCCTTTTCCTCTTGCTGTTCCTCTGGTCTGTGGATGCAGAATCAGCCAAATGTGAAGGCAGAGGAGCCAAAAAACCAGGAAGCTCAGTGGTGCAGTCCCGTGTATCTTCTGTATATCAAAACATTTTTAATGAATCTTTTTTGTTAACTTCTGTAATCCTTTTCATATTAGTCAAACACCATACAGCATCATACAGTGATATACAATGACAAACAAATGAAAGATTAAAAACACTCACCTCCTCTTTCTTCACCCATGTGGGACATGGACAATCTCCTCCAACCTGCAATAAAACAGACAAATACAGACAAATATAAAAAATAAATGTAAAACAAAGTAAAGAAAAAGAAAAAGAAGAAAAAAAACGAAATAAAAAAAGAGCAACAAAGTTGTTTAAAAAAATAATCAGAAAAATAACGAAAAAAAGATGATTAGAGAAATTGTGCTCTTTAAAATAAGTCTTTTTCTCTCAGAAATCCTCCAACAGCTTCAGAAATCTCAGGAATCGCACAGAAATGCTCTGCAAAGTCGCCTCGTCTCTCAACCAACAGATTGCGATGGGTTTGATTGTTTTTATATGCAGTCAGAAATCATATCATAACAAGCGTTGCTATAGCAACTAACATTGTAAAATACAAATAGCCAAAAAGGGGTATAAATCCGATTAGTTCTAATTAAAAGCTCTTGTTATTAAATTAAAAATGTATAAAAATTTAATTTCCGGCATAATTTTCAATAGGCCAATCAGCTTTCATCAACACTGCGTCATCAACATACACTGATTGAGCTATCGAAATTAAATTAAATGAAATACTAAAAGCCTTATTTAATTTAATATCATTGTTGTTTATTATACAATTTATTTTATTTAAAAATATAATTCATTAATATACCTAAATTGTGCGTTCGCCATACATTTATTACGCAAGGAGTGACGTCAGGGACGTCAGTCACATGACCTTTCGTAATGCCCTGCTTCAGCGTCCCAGCCGGCACACGACCGACCTTCAACGTTGAAATATGGTTGAAATAAGGTCAGATGTGTTTTGAACGTTGAAATAATGTTGATAGAACGTTTAATGTTGAACGGTTGAAAAACAGCCTGCATATGACAAGGCTTCAACGTTGAAATGTGGTTGAAAATACGTCAGTTGTTGCTTTAATGTTAAAACAATGTTGAATGATAAATGGTTGAAAAAAGTTACAGAAATCCTTGTACAAATCAACGTTGACATTTTTTTATCATGGTCTGTATGTTGAATTAACGTCATGGCTTCACCCAATATTCAACATGTTTGGTTACCATGGTATCGGAGGACTCGGCGCACGCGGCCACGCGCAGCGCTTCACTTCACTTAATTACGAACACCTGACCTGCAGTGCAGCAGAATTCAGAGGTAAGCGTGTTTTTAGATGCTTTAAAGTTTTATTTACCCCCCGATTTTGCTTTACACACATCTTAAATGTGACTTGGTGTAGTGTTTCGAATTTTGAAGCATTTAAAACTTTCCAGTTTGTTTTTAGTCTTGTTTGCGCTCCGGTGATGCAGCTAACCTCGAGGTAATGTCACATGTTTAACGTTAGTCTAAATGAGCGTTTTTATGGCAAATTCAAAGCGATAAACTCCAAACGCAGTTTAAAGTTACTGAGCAACGTTATAAAACAATATCCATTTTATACGCTGTATTATTAGTGTTATTATTACAAAGTGAACTGCTGTCGTTTCACTGTTGTTGTTGTTTTTGCTTTTAGACATGTAACTTACTCCAGAGACTCACTAACTTGCACAGCATTGAATGGAAAAGGCTTTGTCCATGTAAGTTTACTTTACCTTTAACTAAGCTATCTGTTAAATCTTCTTAGTGCTTTGGTTAACCAAAAGCATGGTGATATTCTCTTTCTAATATGTTTGTTTATTGATTGTTAGGCTATGTTGTTATATTATATTGTTATATTGATATTATTATTGTGAAATCATGTTGTGATGTTATACTATGTGACAGTATTGGGGAACAAATATGTATTTAGTGAGAAATTAATGCTTAAATTACACTTTGTATAGTAGCAGATAAAAGGTGTAATGGGTTTTAACTTTCTGAGTTTTCTGGAAGGTCCAGTTGAGGGGCATCAAGAACACGCAGATAGCCTACCTGGACAGACTGCAGTTCTGCTACTCCATGCCAAGGCTTTTGTATGGATGTCTTGACTACTACTGTGTTCTCTAAAGGTATTACTGGAGCAAAACAACAGCACCTGTTACAGTGAAATTTGTATTCAAAAAAATAGTGATACATGTGTACCAGGTCCAGTACATGTGATGTCATTGAGAAGTTGTTTTTATTAAATGTCATTAAAACAAATAAATAAACATGCTATTTAAATAAATCTAAATATTAAAAACTTGAGGATTAAGATGACAAATGAAATGCATCATCTGTCTTGCGAAAAGGGTCTACTTAAGAATTCTGGTGTTTTCCAACTGAAAGGGATAGTTCACCCAAGAATGAAAATTTACTCACATTTTACTCCCCAAATGGTTTAAAACACTAAAAAAAAAAACTAAAAACCTGTAAACATTGACCTCCATAGTAGAAAAAAATACTATAGAAGTCAATGGTTAAATAGATTTGCAGCTTTCTTCAAAATATCTTCTTTTGTGTTCAACGTGGTCAGTAAATGACGACAGAATACAAATTTTGAACTATCCCTTTAATTCTCTGTCCTACATGCAGACTTTTGCAGAAGTGCTACTCCTTCTAGAGTTTTTCTCAACCATGTCTAAAAAGCTTTAAACAGCTTTTACAGTACATGTAATGGTTTACAACAACTTGTAATTATTAGATGTGTTGAATGTTTCATGATTCTTTACTGCAGCCTTGGTTAAAAAAAAAAGCAATTTTTTCGAGAATCTGAAATTTGAATTCTGGAAATGCTGGCACCAGTAGTGGCGAAGGGCTTCCTGACGACATCACACCTAATTCTTCACTTTTCTTAGTTAGGAATATTCAGATGGATGAGTCAAAATTATTGAGTGTGGCAATATTATAGGACAAATTTGGATTCAATAAAAAACAAATATTTGAATTTCACTTTGTATTATAGCTGATACCAACTTAGTTGTAACCTCATATTTCATTTATTGCAGGTTTTCTGGAAGCTCCATTTGAGGGCATCAAGGACATACTGATGGCCTAAACCAGTGTCAGCCTAGACAGACAGACATCTATTGCAGTTCTGCTACACAAGACCAAACTCTCTGCTTTTGTATGGATGTCTGACTAGTACGGTGTTCTCTAAAGGTATAACCGGAGCAAAACAATAGCATCCGTTACAGTGAAATTTGTGTTCATAAAAGATAGTGATATGTGTAACAGGTCCAGTACATTTGTCATAAAGGTTATATCACAGTAAGTACTGTAAAAATAACTTGTTTGCCTTTGCCACAACAGGTCATGGTGTGTGCATACTGCTCGTAGTAAACACACATGCTGATCTGATGCGGGAGAGATATACGCAAACACATTTGTATTTACTGTTTTGTTTTGCCTCACTAAAGTGTTGTTGGAGCTTGGTATGTTCACAGTGGAAATCACTGAAGTCACATGGAACGTTTTGACAATGTGTTTTGTGCCTTATCTTGACAATGACCATCTTGGGACCATTGCTGTCTGTAGAGGATGAGGAGCATTTAATCAAAAATATTTTAGTTTGTGTTCTGAAGATTAACAGGTCTCTGGGATGACACAAGTAATTAATAACAGAACCTATATGAACACTTAATGTGACATGTAATAGTGAAATAGTGGTCCTACATTCACAAATGTGAGCCATTATTATAAGACCCATGTGAACATGCAATTTTTATGATACTAATAATAATAATGGAATAACAAATTGCTTTTACTGTTGTGTTTGTGAGAGAGAATCAAACCATATATTCTACACATTTTCTTGATGATTTACTGAAATATTTGTCTATGTTCCACTGTCACAGGTGCTCAGTTTTGCTGCAGTAATGCTAAACACAATAGATGTACTTTATACAAAAAAAAAAAAAAAACTACTAAATATTTAGCATGCAGACCTGCAAAGTGAAGGAGTAATGCCAGGATTAGATTATAGCATGAGTTTTCACTATTGTGAAAGTGAAGCCATTCATTCACAATGAATTGGAATAGCAAACCTCATTATTGATTTTGTAGGAAACTCACCTGGTGTTTGAGAAATAAATATGTATTTAACTGCTAGACTGATATAGATGATTTAGTGTTTTACACTTGATTCTTTGTCCTCAGTGCCATCTTTTACCTCAAGTGTTTCTCTCAACCTATAAAACCTCAAACAGATGTAATGTATTTCACTTGTGATTCTTAGTTGTGAGTGATGTTTTTTATTTTATTTTTTTACTGCAGCCACTTTAAAAATGGGTATTTTGTAAACTTTGTAAACAGAATTGAAGCGTAGTTTAGTTACTTAGTTTAATTTAGTTAGTATCTGTCTTTCTGAAGACAGTAACACTTTACAATAAGGTTGTATTAGTAAGTGTTAATGTATTTACTAACATGAACAAAGAGCAATGAAGCATCTTTCATATAAAGAAAGTACAGTTCATGTCAGCTCAGTGCATTATGTTAACAAGCACACATTTTGATTTTAATAGCATCGGGACATATTTCAATTAATTAAATGATTAATAAATGCTGTACAACCCAGATAGCAAATTACATCTGGCCCAGATATGGCCCACATCCCCCATTTTCTTCTGGCCCACATACCGCGCGGAATGACGGCGATGACTCAACCTGATTGTGGCTGACATAAGGATCCAAAAGTCAGCCACAACTGAACCAGATCTGGGCCATATCTCAGAAAAAGCATGGTCCATATCTGGGCCAGATGTGGCCCATACATTTTCTCAGATCTGGCCCAGCTGCGGCCCATGCACATTCTCAAATCTGGCCCAGCTGCGGCCCATGCACTTTCTCAGATCTGGCCCACATGCAGCCCATGCAGTTTCTCATATCTGGCCCAGACGCGGCCCATGCAATTTCACAGATCTGGCCCAGATCTGGTTCAGTTGCGGCTGACTTTTGGGTTAGATGTGGCTGACATCTACATTTGGTAGCTATATAAATCACATTAAAAGGAATGCTTAGTTTAAATTGCTTTATTTAAAAAAATGCTTTAAAAGAAGCATATAAATTGATAAATACAAATATATTAATTATATAAATAGATGCATACAAAAAAAACAACAACAGATTGATCAATGCAATACAAATAAATATATGAATTAGATAAATAAATGCATACAGAATTATCACAAATTAAATGCAAATAAATATATATAAAAGTTAAAATTAGGTAAGTGGATATACAGAATAAGAAGAACATACAAACACAAATGTATTTACAAATTAGATAAATAGATACAGAAAAAAAACACAGAAAATATATATATATTTTTTTTATAAAATGCATATTAATTAAATTAACAAATATTTTATAACCATATAGCCAGAACCAATAATTAAAGAGATAAATAAAGGGCAATCCAAAAACAAGATCAGAGGCGAGGCAGGGGTCAAATAAACAAATGATAATTACAGAAACAAGATAAACAAGTATGAGTAGACAGAACAAACACAGAAATCGCATATTTAACAAAAATATATTACTTAAATAATTACAAATAAATATTTATTAGCATTTACCTAGAACCAAAAAAAAATAAAAAATTTAAATTAAATAAACTGAAAATCAAACAGGGCAGTCCAAGAGTGAGGTCAGGGTCGAGCAAGGTTAAAGCAAAAAAAAAAAACAGTCCAATGCAAAAAAAATCCTGAAAATAGGAGAAGACAACAATTAAAAGGTGCTGTTTGCAGAGTACATACAGGTAAAACTGGATTAAAATTAAGGACTTAAGCACTTTTTTAAGCACCTATTTTTATTTTTAAGACAAAGCAACGTATTGAACACCTGAAATGTATTTTCAGCAATACATAAAAACATTCCATAGGAACTACCTATCGATTTATAAAAAAAATAAATAAATAATATTAATATAATATTTCATAGTATTAAACCTATTTTAAATGTGATTGTGAAATTATTGTTTTTTTATGTTTTCGTAGATGGAAAGAGAACTGAAAATTAAATTACATTAAATTAAAGGACTAGAAATACTATTACATTGCTAAAATAAAACAAATTTTAGTAAATAATACTAATACAGAGTAAAAGAACATGGTACTATTTTAATTAGTTACATTTGGAAAAAAAATCGGATTTTCATTACGGACCTTTTTTTAAGTGTAAACTTGTTTGAATGGTTTAATTGTTTAATTACAAGACTACATAAAAAGAAATTTGCACTAACAAAGGAAGTTTATTTTAAGGAAATATATTTTCAAGCTTAGGAAGGTTTTACGTATATGATGAAAAGATGTAAAAATTTAAAATGTAGCCTTTTATTTACACATTTTACACGGTTTTTCTTGTTTGCTCATTCTGTGTCTGCCTTTACAATCTGGCAAATTTGTTGCTTAAATAACTTTTATAGTACTTGGATTTTTTTTTACATAATTATAAACAAATGACTTTACAAAAAAATATATTTTTAAAAATAATAAAACAAATGACTTCATTTCATTTGAGGTATTTGAAATATTTTTTTACATTTTCTACATTTTTTAAAGAGCCTTATTGTTTATTTTGATAAATGTAATAACAGATTGCTTTGACCTGTAATGCCTGTACAATTTAGTGACGCTTTAAGACAGACTATAGCTGCGTCCCAAATCGCATACTTATGCACTATTCTACGCCATTTTGTAGTATAAATAGTGTAAGTAGTGCGTTCACACTGAAAACTCTAAAAATATAAAGTGCACTTCAGTTACCCGGATGATGCACTCATTCAGCCGCTAAAATGAAGTGTGGAATGATGGACACTTAACGCACTCAACGACCACATGTTTGCTTACGTAGCGGAAGGGGCGGAGCTATCGGACACACATGTTGAATAACTTTATTTATTTTGGATGGTAAAAGCAGAATTCTCCAACGAGAGTGATTATTGCGCCTCCCGATGGTGAATGCGGCAATACTCACGGCAGGTATTGTTTGATAATTCGGTTGTTTATTTCACTGATTTGGCAACCGTCAAACGTCATCAGGGAAACGGTTTGAATTTCCGCTTAGTAAAAAAAACATTAGTGTGCCATTTGGGACGACACTACATACATATACTATCCTGTTGAGTGTGTAAGTGCATAAGTACATAGTGCATGAGTGCATAGTGTATAGTGTGCCATTTGGGACGCAGCTTATGTATAAATCATACAAATACCTCATTCAAAAACGTTTCCAGCATACCAACCCCGTGACGTCAGACACAGCAATATTACAAGATGGGGGTGCCTTTGTGCTAAAAGCTTTAGTTAAACATGCCCTTTTCATCAAAATTGTTACATTAATCAAGTTTGGTTATTATATTTTTATTAAATCGGAAAGCAATTTACGAAATAATGTAAACTTGATTGACTGCATCACTTCTACTACAAGACACTGGGAAGAATTTTTGCTAGGAAGATCTGACAATCACTGACAAGTTTACTCCATCAATTCATAGTCTGAAATCTTGGTAATTAGTGAAAGTACCTTTGAACTGACCGCAGATCTTGATGTGGTCTTTCTTGATCTGGTCTTCTCCACTTTCGATCCTTCCCTGGGTTCATCTTTACAAGGAACCTGCTGAATGGAAAAAAAATACTTAGTGATAAAAACCTGGACTATATCATGCTCTAAAATGTTTGAAATAAAAGCAGCGTAACAAGACAAGCTAGTGGTGGTGGTTTGCTAGAAAAATCTGTGAGAGAGGATGTTGTGTGTGAGTCAGACTGAGACAGACTGTTGTATGAATGTGTGTTTTTGAGTGTATGAATGTGAGAATGCATTCACAAGAGTGTGTGTTAGTTTGAGGATTTTGCTATTTTAAATATTAGGGTCCAACAGAGTAATTTGTTTAGTTAAGTTGTTTAAAATTATTTTCATTGATTAAATACTTGCCCCTATATAGATGTAAAGAATAACCAAAAGAAATAATGTATTAAAATGTCATTATATTTTATATTCAATCTGCAAATCATTTGTTGTGAAATTTGGATGACTTCCATTCAGTATATGAATAAAATAAAATTAAAATAGGAATAAAACAATAGAACTCTATAAAAAAATACTTCCTATCAAAATAAAGCAGGTGCTTTTACCTAAAGGAACTTTATTAGTATGGTTCCCTGCTTCCAGTTAGTTCAACTTCAGATACCTCCATAATCTGTACTCTGGTGCTTCATTTGGTTCTTGACTTAAGAGTAACTGGTGTCGCATTCCCGGTCCATCACAATCTTAGCTAGAAGGACAAT